CCCACACTTCCCCGACCCCTTGAACCAAGATACCCTAAACACAAACCCCAATACAAACCCCCAAACAAACAACATCAAAAAACAAAACAAAAACACTCCCCTTTACCAAACCCCAATCAAAACTACTCAAAAAACAAAAACCCACCATCCCCCCACAGCCCCCATCAAATACAAACTAAACCCCCCCTTCATAAACCTCCCACCGCACCTATAAACACAAAACCCCAAAAAAAAATGCAACAAACAGAGGAATAACAGAACAATGATACCAGACCTGGAAGATTAAACAGATCAATAATAAGGAGTAATAATACCAGTTTTTCACCTTGTCCTCATGTAAGAAAAACCATCATCCACAAAAAAGGTGGTCGGTGGAGATCGGTGTAAATTGTCATAAGTGTGGGCACTAGGGCACATGGAAAGATTTGCAAATCCTCATCAACAACAAGGAGAAGTTAAAGTTGTTGAGGACCACAACAAGAGAAACATTGTTTGTTGTGTTACATCTTTGGCTACGATAAGCTCACAGAAAGTTGGCTCTAGACTCGTGGTTGCACAAATCACATGAGTTAATGATCGCGCAACTCTTTAAAGAACTTGAACAAACTGCACTTTCTAAAGTTTTAGAGTCGGTAAATGGGCATATATTGCAGTAAAAGCAAAGGAACAATGGCAATTTAAGGTCAAACAGGTGTTAAAACTGATTTCAGATGTTTTCTATGTTCCAGGAAATTAACCAAAACTGTTGAGTGTTCCCTCAATTGCTTGAAGAAAGTTATCTAAGGTGTTGTTTGAAGATAAAAACTGCATGATTAAAGCTTCACAGGGCAAAGGAAGTATTTAAAGTTAGAATGAAAGGAAAAAGCTTTGCTTTGAACTTCATGAGTGAAGAATAGGCTACAGTGCACAAAGAGGTCAGCAATACAATACTTTGGCATAAAAGATTGGGCCATTTTCACCACAATTGTCTAATATTCATGAAGAAGAATGACATGGTCAGAGGCTTACCTGATATAGAAGTAATTTCCTACATGCATTGCTTGTCAATATGGAAAGCAAACAAGACTCCCATTTGCACAAAACAAGACTTGGAAGGCTATACAAAATCTAACAATGGATACAATCAGATGTTTTGGGGTCCTATGAGTCCCACTATTTGAATGCAGTAGGTATCTAGTGTTTTCAATTGATGACATCAAGAATGTGTTGGATAATTTTATGAAGTTTAAATATGAGTTGGGCATTTTTTTGGAGTTTAACTTTGGTGGAAAAAATCAAAGCAAGTACAAAATGCAGATGATCAAATCCGACAATGGACCTGAATATATTCCAAAACATTTAACAAGTTTTGTGAAGATACAGGTGTAGAACACCAACTTACATCCCTTATTCACCTCGCAAAATCTCACTGCAGAAACGGAAAAATCGGACTATTTGGAGATGGCTAGGTGCTTACTTCGATGACAAAGAGTGCCTAAAAAATTCTGGGCAGAGGCCTGTAAATACAATAGTATTTTTACTTAATAGACTGCCAACAAAAGCTTTACAACAAAGAACGCTTTTTGAAGTATGGTACGGTTACAAACCTGAGCTCTTTAATTTAAAGATATTTGGTTGCTTGTGTTTCTTTTATATTCCTCATATTAAGAGAGACAAATTGGACAATAAAGCAGAACCTGGAATTATTTTGTAGGCTATAGCTTAATTTAAGGCCTATAGGAATCTATCTCTTCCACATAACCACAAGTCATTGTTCGCAGTATGTGAAATTCTTGGGAGTTTGATTGTTGGAGCTGGAAGACAACAAATTCGTTTGAACATTTTGATTGTTTGAACTGGAAAGGCAACAATGAGCTTGGATTGCAGAGGAGAATGAAGATGTGGATGATGAACCTGCAAGGAACAAGATTGCTTTCTACTCTATCAAGGTGTAATGTTTGCGGTCATGGAAACCTATGATATGAAGAGGCTCCGAACTGACAAAAGGTGGATAATGTTTTTGACGAGGAGCTTTACATGATTGAACCAAATCATAACGTGTGAGTTTGGTGATAGTCCTAGTCATAAAAAGGGCATTGAGTAAGTGGGTGTTAATGAACCAAGTTCAATCAATCTGATGGTTCTGTGAACAAATACAAGGCAAGACTTGTTGTTAGGGTATAATGCTCAATGTTTTGGGGTGGATTCTCGGAAACATTTGGCCCCAATTACCAGGCTAGACACAAAAGTTTGCTGCTACACTAGCTGACAAAAAGGCTTGCTTTATACATCAATTGGATGTAAAATCACATTTTTGAATGGTATTTGAGGAAGAAATTTTTTTGTTGGAACAACCAAAAGGTTTTGCTCTCAAGTATAAGAAGACAAGGTTATCCTACTGAAAAGGCACTTAATATGGTTTTGAAACAAGCACCAAGGTCTTGGTATAGCAGAATTGATGCCATTTAAATGACTTAGGCCCTTTGTGAAAATTCTAATTGAGTACACCTTATATATTAAAAAGGTGAATGAAGATATACTTATGATATCTCTGTATGTTGATGACTTATTTGTTATAGGAAATTGTAAGGAGATGATTGACAAGTTTAAAGAAGAAATGGAAAATATCTTTGAAATGAATACCGTTGAAATATGATATTTTTTTCTTGGTATGCACGTGCAGCAAAGCAAAATGAAATATTTGGTGTGCCAAGAAAAGTATTGCAAATGAAGTCCTTCATGAAGTTCAACATGGAAGGGTGTAAGTCAGCTGCAACTCCAATGAACCAAAAAGAAAGTTTGCAGAGCAGATGGTGCTGAACAGGTTGATGAAAAGATGTTTAGATCCTTAATAATGCTATGTATTTAAGTGCCACCCGACCAGATATCATGCATTCAGTGAGTTTGTTATCAAGGTACATGTATTGTGCTAGTGAAATTCATTTTCAAGCAGCAAAAATAATTCTTAGATATGTTAAAGGCACAATTGATTATGGTATATGCTTCAACACGTTGAAAGCTTAGTTTTCATGGATATTCCAATAGTGATTGAGCAGTGATGTGTTGATGATATGAGAAACATTCTGGTTACTGTTTCCTCTCTGGGTCTGGGTTTTTTTCATGGAGTTCCAAAAGAAGAAATTATAAGCCCATCATAGCAGAAGCAGAGTATGTTGCTGCTACAGTTGCTGTCAATCAAACTGTTTGATAAGAAAGATAATGGCTGATTTACCTAAATTAAAGAACAAGAGATAGCACAAAGATTTTTTTGTGGATAATCAAGCTCAATTTCAATTTTGCGAATAATCTAGTTTGTTTTTCATGGCAAAACAAAGGCATTTTAAGATAAAGCTTTTTTTTAGAGAAGTTCAAAGAAGGGACAAGTGAAACTAGTTTACACAAGCAAACAGACAATCACGTGGTTGATAAGTCTAACCAAGGCACTTCCAAAATCTAGATTTGAGTTCTTGAGACAAAAGCTTGGAGTTTTGCAGTTCCAAAGTCCAGGAGGAGTGTTGATTGATGACATTGGAAATTGAGAAATTAAAATAAATGTTTACTATTTTTTTAGGAAATAAAAGTCTGTGACTGTAGGATTTATTTGCTATTTTCTCTAGGTCCCTAAGAGCACTAATTTGTTAGTGGTTATAGATACCAACATTTACGTGCATTTACGTTCAGTTATTTGCTTTATAAAAGTAATAGCACTCCTCAATAAAATATTAATGCAGTTTTATATTCCTGTGTTTCTCTCTCTCAACTTTTCCTTTAATAAAATAACATAGGCAAAGAGGACATTTTTTCACTACGAAAGTAACACACTCAAGATATATTGCGGTTCAAAAATCACTCACCCCAACCAATTTTATTGACACAAAAAATAACCTTGAACACGGACAACTCCTACTACCATTCACCATGCATAAGTAGACCCAACCGAAACTATCAATTAATTTTAGGCTTAATACCCTATTTTGTCCCCAGTTTCGTTCGACAATGTCAAATTAGTCCATCCTTTAAAACGTGCATCAATTACGTCCCTACTAATAATTATATCCAGTGAAATCCCCTTCCGTTAAATCCGTACAAACGGCGTTAATTATTTTTTCTCTCTCTTCTATTAACGCCGTTTGTACGATTTTAACGGAAGGGATTTCTTGAGATAAATTTATTAAGTAAGACGTAATTGACCACGTTTTTAAGATGGACTAATTTGACATTGTCGACTGAAACTGGAACAAATATGGTATTAAACCTTATTTTGCAACTCAACCAGTCAATAATAGTACAACACGTCAATTAAGATATCATTGATCCATACATACAAGGCAGCAACATAAGCTATTCAGACCAAGGACAAGACAATAAAACATCATATAATTATACAACAAGATCAATGATGGACTCATTTTAACGTGTAACAGTGCAGCAACTTTTTAAATTTAAAACAGCACTAACAACATGCCCAAGATGGTTTAACAAAATCCATGTTTCTTATACATACATGTGCCTATTAATGCTTAAAGACCACAATAAGTAACACCAATCACCATGTGAATAATTTGATATAGGTGAACAGGTCCTCGAACATAAAGCATATGTAAAAAATAAAACCTTCATAACACAAATCCAACATTAGTCGCACCATTTAGGATTAAAATCCGTGACCACTCACCACCACAATCTTTTACCAATTAAATCACATTATTTGTGAAAAAAAAAATATTTTTTTATAAAAATATCCATAACTACCTCTAATTCTTATATTTATAATACATATTTTCCCCGTATGTGTAAATAGATATATCTTTATTAGAGTTTTGTTAGTTGTTTTTTTTATATATACACGTATTATGGATATGTGGAACAGTTCAATCATAGTTTTAATGGTGTTTGTGGAAATCAAATCAGTGTTATCTTCTCCTTGATTTGTATCTCTTTTGTTTACTGTTTTTTACATGTGTTTTTCTTGCATAATTGAAAAAAAAGCATAAATGGAAAAACATAAAAGCCATATAACAGAAAAGTCAAATTGTAATCTTAAATAAGACGATAATAGTTCGAACATGGTAGCTGAGGAAAATACGATGCTTGCAATTCTCAAACAAGCAATTATTCAAATCATCTCACCAACAATTTGCAGAGAAAGAAAACTAAGAAGCTTTCAACCATAAGCCACCGTCCCTGATTACCCCTTAGAACAACTCATCCATGGCACCACAGTAAGGAAAAAGGAGAATCGAATTTTCTCTTTTTCTCTCTTTCCCTCACTCAACCACCATAACAAAACTGTTGAACCAAAGTCCCGAATAAACTCATTTTCCAACTGAAAGAATCTTTCTCTGATATACTAAACATCATTGTCTGGTTTGTTGAACCAAAAAATAAGGTAAAGAAAAGAAAAGCTGTGATGGGGATTTGGGCTGATTCAAAAGGGGGTGGTGGAAACGGAGGAAAGAATCCATGGAGTTTTGTAACCAGGAGGAAAAGGGTGGATTCTGCAGTTGAGAGCAATTCCCACGGTCAACTTGCCAAGGAGTTAACCGTGCCACATCTCATGGCAATTGGTAGTTCAAAACCTTTTCTTCTCTTCTCTTTCTTTCTGGTGTTTTATTTTATTTTCAATCACTTTTTTCATCTGGGTATGGATGTGACAAGATTTTAGATTGACGATCTTTCATATTCTGAGAAATTGGTTCTTTTGGGGGTGCCAGATACCCAAAAACCTTAAAGTTGCAGCTGAAATCAGACTTTCCAACAGTTTTTCATAACTTGCGGCTGTGGATCCGCTCATGTCTTAGTTTCAAGATTCGAGTTTCAACTTCACAATTCCAGAATTTTAGTGTTTTCTTTTTTAACTCTGGCTGAGTGCTTTTTTCACAGAAAAAGAGAGTATAAATGAACAGTTTTTTTCAATATTTTAATCTTCCAATACAGATATGCTATTGTTATTTAATTTGGCCATAAACTGCTCTTGCAATATTTAATTTCTTTGGCGGTTTGACTCAGGTGTTGGTGCAACAATTGGTGCTGGTGTTTATGTGCTGGTTGGAACTGTGGCTCGAGAACACTCTGGACCTGCTTTGCCACTCTCTTTTCTGGTGGCTGGTTTTGCTGCTGCGCTTTCTGCTCTTTGCTATGCAGAGTTGGCTAGCCGTTGTCCTTCTGCTGGAAGTGCATATCATTACTCATACATATGTGTTGGAGAAGGGTATTCATTAAGTCACCTTATTAGTGGTTTTGTCTTCCTATTTATTTCCTTGGACCTTCCAATACACTCACTAAGAAGAATATTGGAGAATTCTCCATGCTCCCTTGCAGAAAAATAAATGAGTCCTGAACTAAGTGAGAGGGTTTCTAGTTTATCTATAACTTAGTTTTAAATTATAAAACAATTTATTGATTTTTCTCCTAAAAATGTTTTTGAAAAAGCTTGTTCAATTCAAACATCTCCTAGACATATTGAAGATTGAGAAGTGACTTTAGTCATTATGATAATGGGTTGGCTTATGATAAAACTGTTTTTCTGAAATACTCAAGGGGGTTTGATACTGTCCAGTGAAATCTCACCGTTTAATATAGATAAGAGGGATAAAATTTGAGTTATAAACAAGAAAGGAAAAATAAGGATGTGTTTTTGTTCTGTTTTTAATATTGACATGGAGCATTCTAGTTAGAATGATATTGTCTAAGCTCTTGTGACATGTGTTCTTCTATACACAGAACTTGAGATAGTTTAAGGTTCTAAAGTTACATGATTGCCGATTGAGGGTCTAGTGTATGTTGATTAATAGAGAATGATTACTTTGTTTTGAAGAGTTGCTTGGTTGATGGTTGGGCCTTGATATTGGGAATACACAATTGGTGGAGCTGCAGTTGTCGTGGCATAACGCCCAATTTGGGTATGGTGTTGTTTCATCTTTGTGTTCAGTATTTGTTTCTTTAAGAGGGTGTTGATTATACCATTTGTTTCACTTTTAACCTTTTAAAAAAATTATGTTACAATTTATGTTTTTGAGTGACTCAGTGCACATGAATAAGGCTTTTGTTGATGAGTATTAGTTCAAATAGATTTTCTCTTGATGATCTTGGATGTAATGGTGTGTGAAGTCATGTGAAGCAATGTGGGTTCAAAGTGGGTATCTCGATGGTAGGCGGCACTTATTGGAGGAATGGAAAATTTGCCAAGCTTTCTGTCGTGGCATAGCATTCCTGGGACTAATATCGTTGTTGACCGTGTTCAGCAATTGTAGTATTCATTGTAACTGGACTTCTTTGTGCTGGGATCAGAGAGGTATATTTCCACCTAAAAGATCTCCAATAGTTTAGGAGTGTGGCTGAAGGAAAATAAACACTCTTTATTGAAAAATATACTTGACACACATATGGCTTTTACATGCATTTACACTTACCCTCCTTACTTTACATTCTTCTTTTCAAAAAACTACAAAATTTTACTCTTGTTAAAACATTTACAGATGTGTTAAATGAATGCCAGTGGGTGATATTACTCTACTCTTTTTCTACCAAAACTTTCTTTTAAATTGAATAAATGAATGATTGATGTATGCAGAGCACAGTGGTGCAAAGTGTAGTGACAACAGTGAACATATTTGCATTGATTTTTGTCATAATTGGTGGAGGTTACTTAGGGTTCAAATCTGGATGGGTTGGATATCAGCTTCCCACAGGGTATACTATAAATAAATAGAACCATGATTTTCATTTCCTTTGATCTATTCTAGTTACTGAATTAGTGATGAATAAATTGGTGTTGATTTAATAGGTACTTTCCCTTTGGGGTAGATGGGATGCTAGCTGGTTCTGCAACGGTGTTTTTCGCATATATAGGTTTCGATGCGGTTGCAAGCACAGCTGAAGAGGTATAATTTTGTTGTTAGTCTGTATGTAGTTCTATCACTGTAAAACTTACAAAGTGTTTGATATAAAATGATTTTAATGGGGTTGGAAAAATAGGTTAGTTATGCTTTTAATGGAGTACGAAAAGTGGGTTAGTTATGTTTGGTTCTTACTTTTATTTTTAACACCTAACTTTGCTAAAATAAGATTATACAATCTAAAATACAAAAGTATTTTGTTATGTATAATCCAAAATATAATTTTGTATTCATATATTACATTTCAAAATGTGCGTTTTGGAATTTAAAATGAAAAATCTAAACTAAAGGTAAAAGTGGAATTTTCAAATGTATGGGGTGCAGCTTGAAACTGTAGAGGTGCAACAAGAAGCTATCAAAAGTGGAAAGCTAAAATAAAAATTTTACTGAATTTATTTTATCTTTTTTTATTAAATTATTTAATTTGGTAATAAATGACATATTTTAATAAATATAACGAATTTTTTCATTTCTAAAAAGGCTATGTGATACTTCATGAAATACTTTCAACCATAAAAAAACTCAGTCATTCTTAAAAAATTTTATTATTTCAAGAATCATAATCTAAAAAAGGAAATTTCTACCAAACGTGTGTCTTAAGGTAAAACGTATGACATGAATGTTCCTGAAATTTGTGTCAAGGTTCTGAATATGAATAAACATAAGAGATTTTATTAAGAACATTTTCAAGCATGAATTGTTATCGATTTGTTTGAATGAATTTTTAGTAAGGTTGTACTTCATTTGAAGTTTGATTGTTTTTATTATTATTTTTCTCTATATAAGCATTTAACAAGTTGTTTAGAATAGTTTCATCCACACATTTCAAAATAATGTTAAATTTAACAATATTTTGTTTATTGTTTAAGATTGATTTAAGACTGGTTATGTAAGCATTATCGTATCATAGACTTCAATAAAAAAAAAATATCATTGAACACTTATTTTTAAATGAATGATAATTATAAAAGAGTGGCACAAGTGTTTGATAAAATTCTAAAAGTGTTTGATAAAATTCTAAAACTACCTTTTGCAGTTCAGAAAGTCCTAACATTTTGTGATTTATCGGATTCTGAAATTTGACGAAGGATTTTTCATCTTTTTTATTAGATTTTGAAATCCGATAAAAGAAAAATATAACTCCTAAGGCTGTTTTTAGAAATTAGAGATGCATGATTGAATGTTCAGAAGGGTGGAATAGTCGTGTTCGGATAGTCTTTATTTTTAGACAAACTTAATTTTTATTGTTCAATTTCTTAAACATGGTAAACTTACATTTTAAATAATTTAATTAAAGGTTATGTATGTTTATAATCCTTAAATTTTGACATAAAATTATAATTTATTTTAAATTTTAAAATAAACAGATATATTCTTCTTAATTTAATAGTATTAAATTTTTTGATGTGTCGTGTTTCAGGTTGGTATTTGAGTTGTACATCATTTCACATTATCTAACTTAAATGTTAGTCAGAAACACCATTTAACACATAGAAAAAGTTAATGTTGTTAAGTTAAGAAGACTATATTTATTTATTTTTAAAATTCAAGAACCAAAATGTCTCAATAAAAAGAATTATAATTTTGCATCCAAAACTACAAGTTTAATCCTTTAATTAAACAATTAAACACTAAAATATAATATTATTTATTACTATCAAAATTCTAAATATTTGAGCAAATTTTTCAAAATTAACTTGTTTCAATCAATGTGATGTTTATTTACTTTTATACTGTTCCTTAACTTCTTTAAATCAACATTCCATTTACACATACCAAATTCTTTCTTTTACCGTACAAATGATTTATTATTCAAAATAGCAGTTCATATCTTCATAATCTTAAACAATGGACATATATATTTCTCTTCTAAAATGATTTCCAAAGTAGTACTTATACTTGATAAGAAACTCAGTCTCTTTCCACTTGTTGAAGTTACTCTAATATTATCTAAATGTTTATTGTTATCAAAGCATAATTGTTACTTTATCATTATTACATCTTTAATAAATGCTTAATTATGAACAGTGAAAAATCCTCAAAGAGATTTGCCACTTGGAATTGGTGCTTCTTTGTTTCTATGTTGTGGATTGTACATGTTGGTATCCATTGTTATAGTGGGTTTAGTGCCTTATTATGCTATCAATGCTGACACCCCAATATCATCAGCATTTGCAGACAATGGAATGCAATGGGCAGCGTAAGTATTTCAAGTTTAAGCAACACTCAACATGATTATGAGATTTTTTCATCTAGCACCTATGCTGATAAAATTTTTCCTAAAAAAAAAGAAAAAAGGAGTGTTCCTTGAATAGGTGACTCAACCCCATTCAATCATATTTAATTGAATTAGGTTGGATTTCATTTACTATTAATCTCAATCCAATTTAAATTAACCCACTCTTATATGAATTAGGTCATATTGTTGGATACCAGAGATAAAACCAATTTAAAATATATAAATGTGTGCAATTCTCATCTTACAAGTCGGTTTTGTAAGATTGAATTAGACTTAAAGTTTATTTATTAATATTTAGTCTTACATTCAACATATATATATACATTGACATGAAGGGGTGACGTAGGTTTAAAGTTCAATTTTTAAGGCATATATTTAGTGTAGGTGATTCAAGAGTCACTTTTATGTTAGTATAATGAATAAATTAGTTTGATCCAACTTATTATATCATAATTTATTATCTTACTTGAAGTCTTAAATTAATTTTTATAAATGTTATATTATATTTTTAATTAGATGGATATTTAAAAATTATAATTATTAATAAAAAAATTATTTTGAAATCTTGATCCAATTAACTCCATCTAACCCCTTTCATAGAGAGTTGTTGGATTGAGTTTCACATGAAAAAAATATAGAAACTTAATCTAATCCAACTTAATAATATTTTGGTGGATTAGATTAAATAGTAAATTTGTTTCAAATCCTATCTAACTATCACACTCATACCTAAAAAACACTTTTATTCTTATTTACCACAACAACACATTCTTATTTTTATTTACCCCAATAATACCATTTACTATTTAAAATTTACTTTTTCTTTTCAAGAAACCAAATGCTGACAATTATTTTGATTATGCTCGATTGGAGAAAAAGGTCAGACTTTTTTTTAGAAATTAAATTATGTCATTTTTGTTAGCTATTGTGATGAATAATTTTTATTAGCATACGTGTTTCTTGAAAAATATATATATATATATATATATATATATATATATATATATATATATATATATAATATGTATATTTTTTATTTTTTAGTAGAAGAAAAATGGAGACAAATATAGATGTGATGAGAGATAAAACTGAAATTGTTTAGCTTATTTGAAATATAATAGAATTAGACGGTCTCATAAAAGTAAATTTATGTAATTAGAAAACATTATAGTAACGATTTTAAAATATATAATTGTATCATTTCACACATTTTTGAAATTGTGGTTTGCAGGTATGTTATAAACGCTGGGGCTTTCACAGCTTTATGTGCATCTTTATTGGGAGCAATATTACCTCAGGTAAACAAGTTTATTTATGTTTGTATTAACAGTGACATAAAATATCCATTATCTGAGATTTTTTTAATTAATTTTAATTTTATTATTTTTCTTGTAAAATAATATTATTATATAGGAATGGTAAAAAAATCGTAGGACCCATTTAGTTTCATCTTTCAAAAATAAGTAGGTAGGACTAACCCACAAATTGAAAATTTTAATTTATTCTGTCAAATTATTTTAATTTATTTATAGATGTAAATATTAAAAATATATTTAATAATATAAATGTTTTAAAATTTTAATTAATAATCCATCACATCTATACTTTTATTTCGATATCTTAATAAAAAATTCAACCTCAATTTTCAAAATGCATTTTCCCTTACTATTTATTAGATGAAAATGACCTATTATCAAGTTGTCGGTAACAAAAAGTTAAAAGTATCCACGTGGGATCGCACTATAGGCAACAAAACTCAGTTTGTTAGGCAGAGTGGTCCCAAATTTATATGATTGGAGAAAACTGAATATTTGAAAAATAAAAAGATTCTTTCTATATATTACATTATATAAATTGACAAAATAAATATTTTTTAAAATTCTGAAGTTAATAAGATATAATTTTTTATTTTTTGACTTTTCTAAAATTGAAAATAGTTGCATTTAATCTATACTATTATATGATTTCTTCTTCAGTTGGATCTTTTACTTTCCTCTTCATTCTCTTTCTCTTCGCCATTATTTTTTTTCTCTCTGACCACTTTTTTTATAAGATTTTGAATGTCTGAGTTGGCTTGATTATTATCCTTTTGCATTTTTAATGAAAAAAATTGGAATAACAAAACACCCAGATACAAATTTATCCATAACTCTGCTAGAACGTAATTGGTTAGGTTCGTATTTTTCTATATAAATATGTTCATGTTGTCATATCTCACCTGCTAAGAGGTGGTGGTGTGTTGGTATACCTGTTTTCGTTTTTTTTTTCAAATTAAAAGTAAAAATAAAATAATTTAAAAAATTAAAGTTTTTATATTATATTACTGAAAATATATAAATTCAAAATAAAATTATATTTAAATTATTAACTCTGGTAAGAAATGGATTTAAACTTAATTTAACCTTAACAAAACAAACTTATAAGGTGAAGTTTGCACTCACTTATATATTAAAACAAGGCTTTACAAAGACCAACTGTCAAAATGTAAATCTATTTTCTAACTCAACAATCTAATATAGGAAACACACAATATAGAAGAACAATCATCTTCACTACAGTAATCCTTTGAGACCCTTCTCAAAGTACCAAGAACCCCACGTTCTTCTTCCTGACAACACGCACAGGGAAACAACAATCCTTTAATTGCAAAACAAAGTCTAATCAGTAAAGAATACACCTTAATTGTAGAGAAAAAGATCAGTCAGTAAACGTTCATATTTGTCCTTCAAGAATCCTTAAAGAACATCAACTTCTTAGTATCTTGATTCTTGGAGCAATTAAGCACACCTGCAAATACTTTCTAAACTCTCTCATATCATATATGAAAATTCTCAAATGATCAAAGTCTTTAAAATCTTGCGTAACGTGTCATTATATAGATTTTCTCATATCAGACACACTTTAATCGATTACGAAAATAATGTAATCGATTACGCTTATAATAGAGTTATATCAGGATTACATTAAAACAACTTTAATTGATTAAGCAATTGATGTAATCGATTGCATGTTAACAGTAAGTCAAAACATTTAAAAATATGATCGTTATTACAGTTAGACTTAGCTTGAAAATAGTTTTCAAAGTATACCAGACTTAACTGTAATCGGTTAAGTTATACACTTATACATTTTTGAAAACTTTTTCTTCTCAAACACATCACTGCACATTTCAAATAGGTGTATGCAAAGTCACAAGTTTTAATCGATTATATATTTAATGTAATCGGTTAAAACTTTGTTGTTTGCTACTGTTTTAAGCATAAGTATATGCAAACCAATCAGTGTAGCAACATATGTTCAAAAACATTTAAGAAATATTTATGTTGTTTGTCATGAAAACATATATGTGTTGTCATCATCAAATTTTGTTACCATGGAAACATGTATATGTTGTCATCATAAAAAACCAAACACATAAGTGATTGGATTTAACATTTATAATGCTCCCCTTATAACCAACTATCTTCATAACTATATCAATCATTTCAACTACACACACATATATCAATTCAGATTTGAAATTTAGAATAGTTTTATAAACAAATATATAGTTTCCCTTACCTATTGAGAATTCTAACCGTTCTACTAGACCAAAATTACTCCTCCAGCTTAGGGAACTCAATTATGTACCTATATACCACAGAAACACGATCAGGGTATGTGGTTAGAACCACTGATCAACAAGAAACATACAAGAAGACTGAGAAGGCACATGCTACAAAGTTGTTCACATGCATGAAAAGAAACGTGCAACTCAAGAAAAAGTAAAAGCTAACTTACTCTTTTTAAGAAACTGATCGGAGGTCAAGGGAGACCTTGCTGCCATGATAACAAAGGTACTTCTTGATCTTCAAAAGGATAACCCAGGAGTTATAACTAAAATAGAGAAAGAAGAGAATACTCGATGAATGAGTTCTAGAGAGATAGTAGGTATTCTAAGTAATAAGACCTTTTAACCGAATTTCTATTTTACCTTTGGTTTTATTTTGTTATTAAAATAACACGGTCTCATTATTTAAAACATTTTATCAACTCCTAAAACTTTATTTCTAGTTTCTTACACCTCATGATGACGATTCTTGCTGTAGTGACTCTCCTAGTGGCGTCGCTTGTGGTGACGCCTCTTGTCGTGGTGCCTCTTGTTGCCTCGCTCAACAATGAGGGAGAAGAAGTTGACATGCCTCGTGACTGCGACACCTCTTTTGGTGGCAACTAGCACGACATCAACGTTCCTAAGGTGGCAGACCTTGAAGGTAGTCTTGTGCATATGAAAGATAGGAGATCATTTCTCCCTACATCTCCAGATTTTTTTAAAATTCCAAATTATCTTCTACAATTCAAAAAACCTTACACTCTTATCTTTTTTCTTCAACGAATTTCAAAGTTCGTTGAATTTTTTTTCTTTAACAGATTTCGAAATTCATTAAAGGATTTTTCCAAGGCTTCAATGAATTTCAAAATCCATTTTGAATTTTTTTTCTCTAACGAATTTCAAAATTTTTTGAAGGATTTTTTCTTCAACAAATTTCAAAATTCGTTAAATAATTTTTCAAAAGCTTCAACGGATTTCGAAGTCTCTTGAAGGATTTTTCCTCCAATGAATTTTGAAATCTGTTGAAAGATTTTTTCTTCAATAGATTTTGAAATCCCTTAAAGAAAAACGTAATCTCAAATTATTTTTGAATATTATTTAAATATTATTGAAGGACAAAAAAGAAAAGAATAAATGTAGGGAGCAATGTGTGGTGGTGGAGGGAGTAACTTTCATAAATTTTAGCCCATTTGTTTAAAACATTTTAAAATCCAATAAGTAATTGGTAACTTCCACTAAAGTCATTGCACCCTTGAAACAAAGTCACTAGAGTTACTGTTCCAACCAAGAAAAAAAAACTCTAAAATCTGTCAAAATATTCATGAACAATTCAAGATAAATCATCTCACCGATACGTGATACAATTTACGATTCAACTACCTTAGTAATAAACTGTAATAAAATTTGAGGTAGGAATGAATTGTAATTGGGTGTTAAAAGTTTAGGAGTTAAAGCATGTTTAACCTTAAAATAACCAATAGAAAAACTGATGTTAAAACCTCATTAACATATGCCTACACTTAAAATGTTTGGGCAGCATAAGAACAAGAAGGTGTAAGTTCAATTCAAATAGATGATAGTGTTCCAATTACAGTGATTGTGCATTGGAGTTATCATAGCTTTCCCCTTTTTTTCTTGAAGTTTTCTTTCTGTGAGGGAAAATTATGAATGTGTTTTGTTGTTTAATGTGTCTCAGCCAAGAATATTGATGGCTATGGCCAGGGATGGGTTGCTGCCTCCTTTTTTTTCTGACATAAACAGCCATAGCCAGGTTCCTGTCAAGAGCACAATAGTTACTGGCCTTGTTGCTGCACTCTTGGCTTTTTTAATGGAAGTTTCTGAATTGGCTGGAATGGTAAGTCTACTTTTGCAACATAAAGGAATGAAAAACTTAAAAAAAAAAAATTAAAATTTAAGAATATTTAGAAAGTATTTTAAATAAAAAAATATAATAAAATTTGAAATTTGGCTGGTGTAGGTGAGTGTTGGTACACTTCTTGCATTCACAGTGGTGGCAATATCAGTGTTAATACTGAGATATATCCCACCAAATGAAATTCCATTGGCTCCTTCTGTCATGGAACCCTTTGTTTCAGCATCAACAGGGTATACTTGGAGCAGGTTGGAAGCAAATGAAGATACAAAGGCTCATGCTGGTACTTCTCACACCACAATACCTCCAACTGTTAAAGAGGATGTACCAAATGATCCTCTTATTGCTAAAGATACTATCATAGCCAAATGTAAGTCAAATTCTATCTACCATCATACAAATTCTCCACATATTTATGTCAAATTGCTTGAAATAAGGAACAATATTCTCAAGATACTTTTTTCTTAATTAATATAAAAAGAAAGAATTAAATTTTTTTTTTCAAATTATTATAAAAATGTGTTGCGTTTTTAAACTAAATTTTAATGAAGTTAATTCATGTACTTTATCAAAGTAAAGTAATGTAAAACATCTTTTTCAACGAATTGTAAATGGAGATTATATTATACTTTACTATAAAACTCTATTTGCCACATGAAAAACATTATGCATGTTGTTTGTTACCATTTACTGAAAATGATATTTTACTAACTACCTAGGAATGAAACACTTTTTTTAGAGTAATTTAAAATTAAAATCTATATTTAATTCCTATAAAAAATATTGAGTTTTTTTTTATTCTAATAACTTGTTTTTGCAACAAAATCAATGCTTCTTAAGTAACTTGCACTAGGAGACTGATATTATAATTTTGAGTAATGATAGAGTGATATAAATAAATATAAAAAAATTATGTGTGTTAAATTATATACTTTTATAATTTTTTTTTCTTTTGACTTTCCTTTGACATCTACAGTTTTTCTCCTTGCTCGTATTTGTTTGTGATGCAGATGTACATGAAGGTAATAGGAGAAAACTTATTGGATGGGCAATAGCAGTCACATGCTTGGGGGTGTTTATCCTCACATTTGCAGCTTCAAATAACACTATAATCAGGTTGGTTTTAAATGTTTCAGTTTTCATGCACATGTAGGTCTGAAATTGTTAGGAGTCCTACGACGACTAAAAATTAGACAAATTTATAGTATACAAGTAGATGTAAACTTCATTTTATAAACTAGTTTTGTGAGGTTGAGTTAAGCTTAAAATCTATTCTTAACAAAAATCACTAGTTAAGTTGGGTTTATTTGAGTAACCTTCTTTTGCAAACTCTTTTAGCCTAAGACAAAAAGTAAACTACAATATTTTGTAAGCATTTCATGTTTTGTATTAGCAGTTCTATTCGTTTTGCACTATGTGGAGTTGGTGGCACTCTTCTTCTGTCTGGTTTTGTCTTCCTAAACTTCATGGATCAAGATGATGCAAGGCACAACTTTGGCCATTCTGGAGGTATGGTTAACAATATAAGCATCTCACGGTAATAAACTTTAGGTCTTGTGTGAGTTATTATCTTGTTCCTATGCAACTAACCTATATGTCTATGGATTTTCAGGAATGCAAGAATATATTTAAACTTAACTTTCAACTGTATTACAGAAAAATAAGTTATCATAAATATTTATCACGATTCTAGTTGGTCTCACATTATAAATGAATGAATTTGAAAAGGAGTATATAGGAAGGAAGATTCACACATCTATTAATACTATCTTGAGGTTTTCTTATATTATCTCTTGATTTTTTTTATATGGAATTCTTGTAGTTTATTAGTGTCCAATTTTTCTGACGTTTCCATTATGAAAAACCAAACCGTAAGGAAGTGTATGGAATTCAAAAGAAAAAGGCAATACAAGAGAAAAAGGCAACCCAAAAGACTAGTCATTAATAATTTATCTTAGAACTCTTAATAGAAAGTTGTAGGAAGTTTCTATTGGAAGAAATCTATTTAATGAATGTCTACTTTGAATTAAAATAAAAAAAAAATGATTTTTTTTAACATTTTTATTTAGTTAGCTAACATGTGTTGTGGTCCATTTTCAGGTTTCATTTGCCCATTTGTGCCTTTGTTGCCGATAGCTTGCATTCTTATCAACTCCTATTTACTAATTAATCTTGGGTAAGTATTTTATTTAGTTATGGAAATACGCATAACTTTTTCTTTAAATTGTTTAAAATTTAATGTTATTAAAATACTAAATTGCCCAAACTTTATCATTTAGTGTGAATTAGTTTACCCAACTTTCATCATAGAAGATGTTACCAATATAGAATACACTTTTAATAATGATTAAAAGTTCTATTTAACGGGTTCAAAATCCATCGTTCTTACAAGTGTAGTTAAAAAATAGAGTTTTTAACAATGTTATGAATCATTGTTAAAAGTAGTTTTTCAAGATTACATTTGCAACTATTGTTGTATGTGCAAGAAAATCCACGAAGATTATAGATTTAATCGTCGTTGTATGTACACACCTGACCAATTAAAAACTCGTTTAGGTGGTTTTCTAATAACAAATATTGACCTAACCTTCCTATGCCTATTTTCTAAAACTAAAAATGCTTTCAAGATTTACCCTAAACCTACATTATTTCATAATTCCAAGACCAAAATGGACAAACTATAATAGATAATAGAATGTTCCAAAACTCTTTAATATATATATATATATATATATATATATATATATATATATATATATATGATTTATAGGATCGAGGTTAAGTGTGTTTATACAAATAATCTCCAAATTCTAGGCTTAAGTTAAAGTCTCAGTCTTCAATCCTCTCTCTCTAATGTTCGGGTCTGATTAGGTGAGGCTGATGCTATATGCAGAAAACACTCTAATACTAAGGTTAATATTTGTCATAATATTATGATAATAAATGCGTAGTAAAAGTAATCAACTATCTGGATATCAAACCTATATTTATAGACTTTGGGATGTGCTTCTGATTAGTGTCAGCCCAATTTTATGATTAACTTGATTATTCTTATTGTTAATCTTGTTTGTGATTCGATCGTCTGACAGACAAAACATTTCGCATTGAATCAAGGAGTGTTGACTGATCGGTCTGTGACTGATCGAATAGTCATATGTACAAAATATATATATATATATATATATATATATATATATATATATATATATATATAATAGTTTAAGAAAAATCAGAGTCAACTAATTTCAACTGAAATTATTACAAATCTAGGCTTATTCAAAGTCATTCATTGATGTAATTCTTTGAATGTGGATGGATGTATCAACCAAAAAAGTGTTGGAAAAACCTTGTTAATTAAAACTTGTTAAACAACATAGAATTGAAGCTGGGTTTTTGAGAGTTATATAATTGTTTTGTATTGTTGTTCCAGGGCTGCTACTTGGGCACGTGTTTCTATATGGCTGGCAATAGGAATTGTTGTTTATGTATTTTATGGCCGAAGCCATAGCACTCTGAAAGAAGCAGTTTATGTGCCAGCAACTCAAGTGGCTGATACTTAGTCTCCAGCAGCTTCAAATGGACCTTGCCTGCAACTATAACACTGCTCATTTACTAGGTGATTCAGTCACTAGGTATTTGTTACCACAGGCATGTACATATTGTATGAAAAACAAAATTATTAGGAGATACAATCCTTCAATTTAAAAGGTAAATTACGATCAAATAATATATATATATATACACATGTAATATTAAATTATTAAAATTTAATCTTACATTAAAAAGATGTTGTATTTGTTAAATTTTTTTTTTCATTATAAAGCTTGTATAGAAATGTGACTTTTGTGTTGGATGGCTCGAATTGAAGCTCAAGTTTTACTTTAGTTGGAATGAGTGGATGTCACATCACAATGGATGTGTTATAGTTAAAAGTGTTCGTGATTACTGATTGGAAAATGTTTTTTAACAATTTTTTTATCAATTTCTTATAACAATGTAATAACAATGTAATAGTTTGTGATTTGTTTGTTTCAAATATACGAATCAATGAAATAGTGACATATGGTCTATTGTCAAAAAGTTATTAACATATTATAGTTCTTACTAATTATATAATTTTTATAAATAATTTTCTTTTATATATTTTAATTTTTTAGTCTCTTGTCTAATAAGATGGAAAGAGATTAGAAAAAGTTTGGTATAGATTTTATATTAGGAGATAAAAGGTAAAATTTATTTATCTATAAAGATAAAATTAGTAATTTAATTTTGAGTATATAAATACAATGAGAAATTTGATGTTACATTTGCTTCAATAGTTCCAAAATAAGCTCTTTTCTTTGACATAGAATTCATATTATTTAGACTTCATTGTAAAAAAATGAATATTGTAGAACTGGTCACTAGTTATCAATAATTATGTGATAAAAAATAAAAAATAAAAATTGAATTATAAATTTTAGCAAAAAAAATTTAGATTGAAAGTTTTAGTAAAAAAAATTGAAATTTATAAATTTTAACAAGAAAAAGAAATTTATAATTTATAATGCAATTGACTTAACTTTATCTAACCTAAAAATGGAATGAGTTAGATTGAGTCTAAATAAAAATAATGGAAAAACTCAACTCAACATTATTTTTCTTCTGTAGGTAGTAAGCATTTTTCTTCTAGGTTCAATCTTATTAGAATTGTTATTTAGCAAAATTTACTTCAAGCATTGCATTCTACATGATTATCTTGTTTAATACACTAGATATGTCTTATAGACAAATATTTCATTCAATATTATGTTTTGTATATGTTATCATTGTTATCAGTTTGTTAAATATTGTTTGATAAACTTCAAAACATGGGATGGTTAGACAATACAATTCCTTTAGATGGTTTTTTTTTTCCTTTCCCCAAACAAACAAATTTAAGAACAATAACCATTAAATCTGAAAAACTAAAAAAACAATAACTCAAAATTCACAGTGGCTTAGCTCTCTTCGACTCATTATTAGTTTAAAATTGGTTTTATACTAGTGTGTCACGTTTTATATTTTGAATTACTTTAATACTTTTTAAGGAGTTTTTTGTTATGTATTTTTTGAACGAGTTGTTTGGTCTCTTTGTACTGTTTCTCTTTTCTTTTCTAATTATATGTTTGTGATGGAAAATAATTAAATGAAGTTGGATTATTAAACGTAGTTGGACATACCATGTTGATAGCCTAATGTATAACATAAATTTTATATAAAGAGTAAAAAAATTTCAAAATATATTTACCTAAAAAATTTTCTAAAAAGTTTAATTAAAATAATTTAAATATATTATAGTAATTTGTTATATATAATAACACATTTAATTTTTCCAATAAGAAAT